GTCCTCACACTCAAATTATCGGTGCAGATCATAAAGCACTTAGACATCAAGAAATCATGACAAGGCATTTTACCTCTGTAGAAGGGTGCAAGCATGAGGTAGCAGCCACACGGGACAAAGCTGGTTTGCCCCTTTTATCCCTAACTCAGAAGCAGCTGACATTTAAATTCACTGGCCAAATTCAAAGGCTTACAGTCTATGGAGGCTGACTAACTCCAGGGGCTCACACGGGATGGGAGTGGAGTGCCTTGGTCAGTAAGTTAGACAGAGGGGGCTTGTGGTTAGGAATGCAAAGTCCTTAGTTCTTACCTTGGAAACTGGCTTCATTCTGGGAAAAGGTGCAATAGAGTCACCATTTCTTGGAGCTCAGGATATTAACAGAGGTGGGACGGGTAGTGAGTAGATGGCCAGGGCATTTAAATCCAAAATGGGGTTGTTTTGGTCTCGTGCTTTGACAGAAATGACAAAGCTTATTTCTCACAATGCCGTATAAATACTATGTGACGCTGAGAGCGCACATCCTGCCTGGCATGTGGGTGTGATGTACATGCATTGTAGTGGTGTGCTGCTTAGTACAGTTCCAAGAGCAACTTGAAATAGAGCGACCAAGAACAAGGTGAGGATGTTCCCTTTCACCACTCTTATTCAATACAGTAATTCTTAAAATTTTACCCTGAGCAATCAGGCAAGAAAAAAACACATATAGGAAATACATATAGGAAAGGGAGAAATCAAATTATCCTTGTTTGCAGAGGATACTCTGTATAGTACTTAGAGCATCTTAAAGACTATCAAAAGACTCCTAGAGCTGATAAATGAATTTAACATAGTATGACACAGAATCAACATTAAAATAAAAATCAATAGCTTTACTATACTCCAATAATGAGCTAGCGGAGAAAGAAATCAGGAAAACAATTCCATTCACAATAGCTTCAAATAAAATAAAGTATCTAGGGACCAAACTAACCAAGGAGGTAAAAGACCTCTACAGTGAGAATTTCAGAATGAAGAAACTGAAGAGGATACTAGAATATGGAAAGACCAGTCATGTTCATGGATTGGCAGGGTTGAAACTGCCAAAATAACCACCTTATCCAAAGTGATCTACAGATTCAACACATTTTCTACCAAAATATCAATGACATTCTTCACAGAACTAGAAAAAGTGATTCTAAAATCCACATGGAAACACAAAAGATCCAGAATAGCTAAAACAATCTAAGCAAAAAAAAGCAAACCTGGAGGCATCATAATATCTGATTTTAAATTATACTGCAAAGCCATAATAACAAAAACATCATGGTACTGGCACAAAAATCCACACATAGACTAGTGGGACAGAATAGAGAACACAAAAACAAAAACAGAACTACAGCCCTTTTAGTTCCAGACAAAAGAGCCAAAAGTATACTTTGGAGAAAAGACAACCTCATCCACAGATAATGCAAAACTGAATAGAAGATTGAAATGAGATCCCTGTCACCCCATAAAAAACCAATTCAAAGTGATTAAAAGACCTAGGTACAAGCTCGGAAACTTGGAAACTGCTAAAACAGGGCAAACACTTGAGGCCACAAGCACAGGCAAAGCTATCCCCGAATGAGACTCCACTAGCACAGGTGATAATAGCAAGAATAAAATGTGGAAGTACGTCAAATTGAAAAAGTTTTGCACAACAAGGGAAACAACTAACAGTGGAGAGACTACCTACAGAAGAGGAGAAAATCTTTACCAGCTGCTGTTTTGACAGACCTCTATAATAAAAATTTCAGAATGCTGAAGAAAGAAATTGAAGATACTACAAGATGGAAAGACCTCTCATGTTCATGGGGGGCAGAGTTAAAACTGCCAAAATAGCCATCTTATCCAAAGCGATCTACAGATTCCACACACTCTTTATCAACTGTATCACTCCAGAATCTACTATATAAATGGAACTCAAAGCCAGGCATGGCAGTGCACATACGTAATCCCAGCACTCTGGGAGGCTGAGGCAGGAGGATTACAAGCTCAAACCCAGCCTGGACAACTTTGTGACTTAGCAAGACCTTGTCTCAAAATAAAAGATACAAAGGGCTGGGGATGTAGTTGTGGTGGCCCTGAGTTCAATCCCCAGTATCACCAAAACCGAAACCAACAACCAACAAAAAACCCTCAAAAAACTTAACACCCAAAAGCCAAATAGCTCAATTAATATGCAAATGAACAGAACAGACACTTTTCAAAAGTACGGGCAGGGTTTGGTAGTACACACTTATAATCCCAGTACCCAGGAGGCCAAGGCAGGATTACTGTTTGAGTTTGAGGTCAGCCTGAGCTACATAGTGAGCTCAAGTCTAGACCGACCCAAGCAAGACCCTGTCTCAAAAAAAAAAAAAAACCTACAAATGGCCAATAAGTACACGAAAAAATCTTCAACATCTGGAGTCACTAGATAAATGCAAATCAAAACTACACTGAGATTCAATCTCACCCCATTCAGAACAGCTATCATCAAGACTATAGAAAACAATAAATGCTGGTGAGGCTGCAGGGAAAAGGAATCTTTCTCCACAGCTGCTGGGAATGTAAATTAGCACAGCCACTATGGCTATCAGGAGGGAGGGTCCTCAAAAAACTCCAGGGGGAGCTATCATTTGACCCAGCTATGAAGGCTGAAGTATGTAACCGGCCTAGGTGCTTATCAAAAGGTGGGTGGACAAAGACGTGGTATATCTACACAATGGAGTATTATTCAGCCATAAGGAAGAATGAAGTCCTGTCATTTGCAAGGATATAGACAGATCTAAAGATCATTATGTTGCATGAAGTAAGTCAGATTCAAACAGATAGTGCAGATTCTCTCCCATATGTGGAATTTAAACATGACAAGAAAGCAGTTTGCTGGGTGTGATGGCATACACCTGTAATCCCAGCACTCAGGAGGCTGAAGCAGGAGGATCACTCAGAGTTCAAGGCCATCCTGGGCTACATAGTAAGTTCAGGACCACTCTGAACTACACAATGAGGCCCTGTCTCAAAAAAAAACCCAAAAATCAACAACCCACCAAAATCCATGTATGTTAATTGTGAAAAAAGGTAATATGTTGTGAACAGAATAACTTGCTTAGTTTACTAACAAATGTATAAAGCTTTGTGTTTATGAAAATATTGTTGCTTAAAATTACTGAACTTAGAAAGTAGAAGGTAGTCTATTATTAGACAAGAGGAAAGGAATAAGGCACGGGAGGGGACATAAGGGTGGGTAGAGGGGCATGGCTATGAACAAAATATATTATGCTTACTGACACCCCCTCAAAAGGGAAACTGGGGCAAAGGTAGGGGATAGGGGCGATGAAAGTGATCAAAGTATATTATGTGCATGTACGAATCTGCCAAAATGAAATCCATTAATCAGTATAACTGAAAAAGTGAATGGAAGAAAGAAAAGTACAGCAAGACTATAATCTTTCAATTAATGACACCGACATGAAATACATTTATAGATAGATACGTTTTACTTGAACATCTGCACAAAATATAACTTGATGTCAAACAGGAAGTTTTTCCAAAGGATTAAAATGTATTTACTAGTGGGCATGGTGGTGCATGCCTGTAATCCCAGCACTCAGGAGGCTGAGGCAGGAGGACTGTGAGTTCGAGGCCAGCCTCGGCTACAAAGTGAGCTCAAGGCCAGCCTGAACTACATAGCAAGACCCTGTCTCAAAAAGACCAAAAAAAAAGTATTTATTGAACAATAAAACTCTTGCTCTCCTTTGGTCTGTCTCTGAATTTGGTGGACTAACATCTTTATTAGCAGTCTGCACTCGCTGCTCATTTACACCACACACATCTCTCCAATCTGGGACACGGCACCTCCTCTCTGTGGAAATCTCGCAAATTGCGTTCAGTGACAACAGAAGGGCAGGTTTTCATCTGCTGCTCATCTCTACTTCATCAGAAGCAAAACTACCTCCTTCAATTCTCTTTTTAAAATTGTGACTGTTTGTAAGCTGTACAAAAGAGGAACTTAATGTTCAGCTTTTTAAAATCAATGTTTGGGAATGCTGGGGATAGAAGCCAAAGGACTTAATATACAAAAATTTCTTTATATGACAATAGTAACTTAACTTAAATTTTTCATTAAAGAATGACTTTTATTATCTCTCCAAAAAAGAAGCTATACAAATATGTGTAAAAACACTGAAAAAGCACTTTAAAATCCTGGGCTGACTGATATAATACAACTGTGATTTACAGCTTACAACTTGATTTACAGCTAAGCATAAAATGTTAAGAGCCTGGCCAGTCATTCCACACAGCTTATTGAAATGTTCTCTTATTTTTTCCCTTATATTTTAAATAAAAGTACAAATTTACATATGGTAAAAAAAGTACATAGTATAGAAAAATCTAAAACAGTAAGTAAATATCCTTCTTCCACAACAAAGCAGACTTGATGTCTTCAGAATCCTTGAGTAGTCCTATGAGTCATTCACAAACTAAAGGTGACTGTAGTCTCCTATCAGCAAATGCTTCTCGGCCTTTGGAGCCGCGCTGGCTCTTCATACAGCACCTCGGCTACAGAGGAAAGCCATGCAGTCTTCTTCATAAAGAAAACGTCAAAAGCAACACGTACACACTGCTCAGAGACAGCAAAGTCTGCGGAACACTGCAGATTGTCAATGGATTTAGTGGTGGCTCCTGAGTCACAAGCATCATCCTTAAAATTTAGGAATCACATTTACTAACAAGGCATTTTCACAAGTTAAGAAAGCTTTTTCTTTAAAAAAGTGATCTGGTCTTGTAAAATGGCGAGACAACTCTGCCAGAGAGTTGGGGCATAGTAGAAAATTATCTCTCTTTAACACTGTACAAAAGGCATTAACCAAACCTCCTAAGCAGTCCCGTTGAGTAAAGGCCTAACCCCTCCTAGCACTGAGGGAGGGTGAAAGGGCAGGGGGCTAAGACTGGACTGGACAGGGAAAGTCCTTCCGGGGCTGGAGGTTTTCACTCACTCTCTGCTGATCAGGAAGGACTTCTGGAGACTGCAGCAGGTCCTCAGCCGAGTCCTTCCTCAATGCCTCGGATCCTCCTGGCCAGCTGCACATCCTTGGGGAACAAAGTGACTCGGCCAGCATGTAAGGAGAGGAGGTAGGCATCCTCGAAGAGGTGAACTAAAAACGCTTCTGCGGCCTGGAGCAGGAAGAGAAAGGGCACCTAGACAAAGGGCGTGGCTGCTGTTCCTTGGAAACTGGCTGAGCGGAATCTGGGGGCTCACAGGACTGAGGGAAGACCGCCCAGGAAGGGAGCTCTGCAGCCACCACACAGAACCCCCGCCCAGCACTCGGGTGTTAACACGCTGCCTGCTCCCAGGGGCAGATGCAGCTTGCCACACTCCTGGGAGCCTTGCAGAATTCCAGAAGGTTCTTCCTTTCGTTCCCAGCCCACCCCGTTACCTCGACCCTCTCTCACCTCCTGAAGGGCCAGCAGGGCCTGCGCTTGCCAGCTGAAGTCCACACCGCGGGTGAATTTAGCACATATTTCTCTTACCTGGGGAGGCGAGATGGAGAAGGACAGAGAGTGGGTAGGGGTAGTGAGTAACAGAAGAGATGTGAGGGAAGGCGGATGCCTCTAGTGTCTCCAGGGAACCCTCAGGCCTGGTCTTAACCTCGGGCCTGGTCTTAATCTCAGGCCTGGCTAACAGCAGTTGTCAACTCCGGGGAGCTGAGGAGTTGGCATGACTCTTCCTGGTGGTGGGGAGATGAGGAGGGACTCCCTAGGATAGGGAAAGGGATTAAAGGGTGGCTAGACAAGAGGGTTCTTGGGTTATATAACCCAAGAGCAGTTTCAAATTAAGCAAAATTAGAAGTCAATTCCAAATAAGTTCTTCTTCTTCTTCTTCTTCTTCTTTTTTTTTTTTTTTTGTCTTTTTGAGACAGGGTCTCACTATGCAGTTCAGGCTAGCTTTGAGCTCACTTTGCAGCCCAGGCTGGCCTTGAACTCTCAAAGATCCTCCTGCCTCAGCCTCCCGAGTGCTGGGATTACAGGCGTGTGCCACCATGCCCTGCAGAAGTCAATTCTGTAGAGCACTGCATGCTATCCTTCCTTGGAGAACTTGTTTTCAGAAGATTCAGGGCACCCAGGTACCTCACAAGAGCACAGGGTCTCCCACCCTGGCAGATTAAAGGAAGAAGGGTGGCACAGGGTGACAGGAAGCTCCTGGGAGCTCACCACGCGGCTGAAGGGCGCCTTCCTCAGCAAGAGATCTGTGCTCTTCTGCAGCTTTCGCATCTCTCGGAGCCAGACAAACCGCCGAAAACGTGAACGGGAGGCGGCACCTGGGTGAGACAGTGGGGTCAGGAAGGGAAAGTGCAGTGCCTTGCAGCTCAGAGGGACAGGGACTGTCAGTCAGGTCACTAGACTGCAACCTGCTGTAGCGCTCAGGTGCTAAGTAAATACCTGTGACAGGAATGAATGGGCGGCTTTTTGTGAATACCAATCCCTTCCCAGCAAACAAGTTGCCCCAAGGAACTTGTATCCCTTTTATCTCTGTCACCTAGATTGGAAACTTCTTTGTTATTGTGGTTTATTTTAAATGGCTTGTAACTATCAGAGATTATCTGCTACCATCCCTTGCCTTGATTATCTCGGGAGTTGGAGAAGATACCCAGAGTCCATCAGAGGCTAAGCTGGGCTGGGGAAGGAGTATAGCTCTGTGTCAGTGTCAGGAATGCAAGCCACACAGTCACAGCCTTTGGGTCAAATTTTAGTTCCAACAACGAAAAAGAAAAAAAATTTCATCAAAAGTAAAAATAAAAAAGCCAAATTCTTTTATCAGAAATTAAAAACACAAGAATACCACCCCCTAAAAGAGACCTAACCCTCATATTGATGAGAAAGTATAACTGCAATTAGATTGTTTAAAACACAATAATAATAAATGTACTTTTTAACTAGGCATGGTAGCACTCAGGAAGCTGAGGCAGGAAGATTGCTGTGAGTTCAAGGCGAGACTGGGCTACACAGTGAGTTCAGGGCCAGCTTGAACTACATAGTGAGACCTTGTCTCAAACAAGACAGAACAGAACAGAACATACTTTTCAAAACCTATGGATAAGGCCAGGTGTGATGGTGCACACCTGTAATCCTAGAACTCATGAGACTGAGGCAGAAGGATAATTGAGTTTGAGGCCAGCCTGGCCTACATAGTGAGACCCCAAAACAAAACATAGATATAGCCAAAATAGTACTAAGCAAAATACACAGCTTTAAAATGTCTATCAGAAAATAAAACATCATATGATAGTTGAGCTAAGTTCAATTAAAGTGTTAGTTATTAAAATAAATGAAAAGAGAGCAAAAGCGATATTAAAAGTATAGTAGGTGGTATGATTGAGTGCAGTTTAGAGTAGAACTGGTTGAATTTAACTTGGTTAGACGTAGGGGTAAGAGAAGAGAACGTCTCCCAGGCTTCTGGCTTGAACTACTAGGTACATGGTTGTGTATTTACTGAAATGGACTGCCAAGAAGTGTCAAGTACCCATTTAAGGGAAAACGTTTCATTTAACTAGGAGTAGTGGAAGAACGCTTCTATACTGGAAACCAATAGCAAACATCACACTTAACATTCCCGGGCTGGGGATTTAGCTCAGCGGCAAAAGCGCCTGCCTGGCAAGCACAAGGTCGTGAGTTCGGTTCCCGGTACCGGAGAAAAGCCAAAAAAACAAAAACAAAAACAAAAAAACATTCCCATTAGCACAAAGGAGACAGATGACCAGGTCACTGCTCCTACATTACTAGTCTCAGGGCCTTACTAGTACCATGCAATAAGAAATAAAATGTGTAAAAATGCAAACAGAAGATTCAAAAGTCATTTTTTGCAGGTGACATGATAATAATCTGTTTTAAAATTCCAACTGATGCAACAGGAAGACTCTTAATGAGAATTCAACAAGTTGACTAGATGCAAAGGTTAAGACTTTTAGGATAAAAGGAAAGCAAAAAAAATCCCACTCACAACAGTAATAGACTTTTGTATCTTGCTTTTAGCTATGTAGCAGGAGAGTTGGAAGAGGTATTCCTACACTATTGGTGTAACTGTAAATTAGTACAACTATTACAGAAGTCAGTAAGAAGATTCCTCAAAAAACATAAAAAATAGATACACTATTTGATCCAGCTATAGGACTCCTTGATGCATTCCCTAAAGAATTAAAGACAGCCTATTACAGTGATTACATGCACATCCAACTTACAGGGGCACAACTCACAGTAGCTAAGCTGTAGAAACAGCCTAGATGCCCATCAGCAGGTGAATGGATAAAGAAAATGTACTCTATGTACACAATGGAGTATTATTCAGCCATAAAGAATGAGATCACAAATTCAAGTCCAGCCTGGGCAGCTTACCAAGACCCTATCTTGATGGGACAGTGGGCCTGGGCTGGAGATGTAGCTCAGTGCAAAGGCCCTGAATTCAATCCCCAGTACTGTGTGTGGAAAAAATAAGGAACGAAATCATGTCATTTGTAGGAAAATGAACAGAACTGGAAACCATCACATTAAGTAAAATAAGCCAGTCTCAGAAAGTTAAATATCGAGTATCGTCTTATAAAAGCAATCTAAAAATAAATGTTAAATAAATAGAGAGATGGCAGGAAACTAAAAAGTAGACTTACAGAGAAGGGGAAGAGGGTTAGGAAAGCAAGAAAGGGGTAAGGGATGAAAACAATAAATGTATGTTATATGCATGCACCAGTATACCAAAGTGAAAAAGTGTTCTGTATTCCTAGTATGCACCACCAAAACAAAGTCTCCACTGACATTTGCCACCTTTAACCTGAGATCTACAAACGGAGGACCACAGACCTCTCCCTCTTCCCGGGTACACAACCTTGAGAGGGACAGGCTGAGCGCGAGCAGCCCAATGCAAGGAAAAACCTGGAAAGACTGCAGTACTGTGGTTTGAAAGCATCACAGAAAACCAAGCCAATTCTTTTGCAACTAAAAAAATAAAAGACGATTAAAAGTCCTGTGCCTTCCACGGCCAAGTGTGTGGCTTTGTTCAAGTGACAGGGTCTCTGTCCCCGTTTTCTCACTAGCTGTACAATGGGTCCAATAAACCGAGTGGTGGCGCACGCCTGTTATCCCAGCCCTCTGGGAGGCTGAGGCAGAAGGACCACAAATTCGAGCCCAGCCTGGGCAACTTAGCAAGACGCTGGCTAAAGACTGAAAATTTTAAGAAGGGACGAGGATGTAGCTCTGTGCGAAGGCCCTGGGTTCAATCCCCAGCACCACGAAAATAAACAGACTCAGTAATAAAGTTAGGACGAGGCACGCAAGGCACTTCAGCACAGTACTCGTCAGGGGCAGGCGCCGAGCGAGGGCTGGCGGCGAGGAGGACCCAGCCGGGCAGCAGGGGTCTGGCCGGTCCTCTGTGCCGCAGCCCTCACCGGGCCGGCGGCGGCGGCGGCGGCGGCGCGGCCGGGTTACCTGAGGCGCTCGGCCGGGGCGGCCCGCGGGTCGGGGTCGTGGTTCGCCTTCTCGGGGTTTCTGGCTTGCGGCTCCGGCGCGGCCCCATGGTGGCCCGCGGAGGGTCTGGCGAGCGGCCCCACGGCTCCGACCCGGCCTCCCGGTCCTGGGGCCTGAAGGCCCACGGGGCGGACGGCGGAAAGCGTGTCTCGGGGGAGCCGGTGCTCCGCCGCCCTCCGTGCCGCCTTCCGTTCAAATCTCCCGCCCCGCCTCCTTCAGGCCCGGAATTTTTTAAAACACCAGTGTAGAGACTCCCAGTGGCTGACACTGGAACTCCAACCATAGAGCGACAGCGAAGAGAGCCAATGAGAACACGGGCCGAGAGACGGAGGGCAACGGTGACAGGAAGAGAGCGGGTAAAAGGCGGACCCACTAAGGAGCCGGCCAATGGGCACCTGGAGAAATCAAGCGAGGCGGAGGTTTTCCCTCTAGTTTGCTTCTTGGGAGGGGTGCGAGTGTTTGAGCTACGCTATCCCAGGTCTTTCCTTACCCTCTGGTCTAGAAGGACTGTTCGGTTCTTAAGACCTGGGTGGTGTGTTTGGAGATAGTGTTTCTCTAGAGAAGTCACTTACCACAAATATTTATTGTGCCCTATTGACCTTGAAGTGGCTTTTTTTTTTTTTTTTTGACCCTGGAGTGGCTTTAAAGATGAAGGAACAGACCCATAGAGAATGACACCCCCTGCCGGGAACACCTTGCAGAAAGGACTGGGAGCGCTTGGTGGAACCCAGTGCCTCATGCACAGTAGGCAAGGGCTGTACCACAGAGCGACATCCCGGGGGCCACTTTAGCTGCGTGGACTTCACAGGTTCGGGAACAGCCAGGACGGCGGTCCTGAGCCGAGGTCCAGGCCGGGTATGCATCCGCACTATTCCTGTGTCTTGTCAAGCATGGCGACGGAATCGTCCCAGGAAAACAATCTCTTCCATTTCTGTTGGGAATATGAAGTACAGAGCATGTCTCGGTACTTATAAAGGGAATTTTAATTTCCTCATTTTGCTTTTCTGAATTTTCTAAATGTCCTAATGTGAACATGTACTGTAATCAGGAAAATCGTTAGTCATAAAAATCAGTGATTTCCTGGAGCCCTTGTGCAGTGCTGGAGAGAATGTTCAAATAGTGCAGCTGCTGTGAAAAATAATACGCATAGTGCTTCCTTAAAAAATTCAACATTGAATTACTATATGATCCAGCGACTCCATTTCTGGCTGTATACTCAAAAGAACTGAAGGAAGATATAGGGACAGATATTTATACATTTATATTCACAGTATAACTGGCAGGGCGAAGTGGAACTTAGAATTTTTTCCTCTAGAGACAAGCTGCTTCTCTACCCTTCCTCAGGCCTAGAGCATAAAAAAAACCGGCCACCTTCTCCTCTCAGCCCAGGTGATGGACAGAATATGCAGATGCTGGCACAGGTCAGCATCCAATTCCCCTTCCATAAGAAAAGGAAGGAGTGGGAAAAGGCCTGGAAGGATGAAGCAGGCCTAGAGTCTTCTGTTGTCTCATTGTATTTCCTTTTCCCTCTGTTCCTTACCATAAAGACCCTTGCAGACCTGCACATGGGAAGATGGTGATTTGAGGCAACACGAGCCCCACCACCACCCCATCTCCTCAGAGCTAGCTTTGAATGAACCCTTTTTCTTTTTCACCATGCCTCCTGTGTTTGTTTGGGAGCAGTGCTCCTGCAGACCTGAGCAGCCAGTAACAATAGCAGCTTTATTCACACAGCCCAAAGCTGGAAACAACCTAAATGTCCACCGATAGATGAATGGACAAATAAAATGTGGTGTATGCAATGGAATGTTATTCCACTTTAAAAAGGAAAAAAAAATTATGACATATGCTGCACACATAGATGAACTTTGAAGACAATATGCTAAATGAAATAGACTAGTTGCAAAAGGGCAAACACTATGATTCCATTTCTGTGAGGTACTTGGAGTGGTCAGATTGATAGAGACAGAAAACAGAATGGTGATAGCCAGGGGCTGGGTAGGAGAGTGGAATGGGGAGTTAGAGTTTAATGGGGGTGGAGTTTCAGTTTGAGATGGTAAGAAAAATTCTAGAGATGGGCAGTGGTGACGCTTGCACAGTAAATGTACAGTACTTAATGCCACTGAACTTGTATTGGTCAAGGTACAAAAAACTTAAAGAGAGGAGGTGTAATGTGGCTCACAGTTGTTGAGGTATTAGTCCATAGTTGGCTGGCTCCAAGACAGAAATATCATGGCTGAAAGGCAAAGCTGCTCACTTCACCATGGCTGAGAAGCAGAGTGGGTTGGAAAGAGCCCCATCAATGCCCCTCCAGGCATACTGTTGGTGACCCACCTCTAACTGAGCCTCATCTGCTGGCAGCACATCCAGCTACTGACATCCATTGATGAGTAGAGCATGATCTGATCACCTCTCCAGCAGTCTCTTAATTCAAGCAAGTTGACAGCCTCAAGCATTACAGAGCTGTACTCTTCAAAATAAGTAAAATATAAAATGGTAAGTTTTATACGTATTTTGCAATTATAAAAAAAGTAAAGGGAAAAAGGACTGAAAGATTTTACTAAATCCATTAAAGTGTAGTCCTATCACAGAAAGAAGATGGTTTTTTTTTTTTTTTTCAGTAAACTAGGATAACACAGAGGGAAGAAATCTGTGGACATCATACCTTTTTTTTTTTTTTTGGTTTTTCTCCGGTACCGGGAACCGAACTCACGACCTTGCGCTTGCCAGGCAGGTGCTTTTGCCGCTGAGCTAAATCCCCAGCCCTGGACAGCATACCTTAACAGCCATTAATCAGACAAAACAAATATCTTCCACTTTAGACAGATAGCCTTTTCTTTGTTCAATTAGAAATAGAAAACAAGGTAGAAAACAGAATCTAGAGTTCATAAGAAACTAATAAAATTGGCTGCCTATGAAGTAGTGGTGGCTGGATGGAGACAGAACAGGGAGTGATGTTTATCAGTGTGCACATTTTTATATATCATTTTGATTTGTGAACCCATTAAATTACTAATCTGTTTTTAAATTAAATTAAATTAAAAAATAAAATGGGTGGAGGAAGCCAAGGAGAATACTAGACCTCCTGATGTCCAGAGGAGTTGAATGAGACAGAGTAGTGAATTATAGATCCTACGAACCCCTAACACTTAGCACCAACTGTCTTGGCAATGGGGTAGCCCAACATGGGAAACAGAGAAGGGATAAAATTAGTTGGTTGTGTCATCACGTCACATCACATCACATCAGACTGAGAACCCTCAGCCAATGCCTCGAAGGATCTACTTTCTTAAGTCTTCCTACGGAAGAAGGTTAGAGTCTAGAGAAAAAGTTCCTGGACTTCCTGTGGGCTAAGAACCTATTCTAGTATTCCTCCTTCTTATAAGATCCTTTAGAAAACCTAATGGTTAAGGCCATGCCTGACACAGTCACAATGTTAGGCAGAAATCTAGTCATTACCATGCTGGAGAGAGGTAGGGAGGGGGTGCTACTGGAAAAGCAAAGATGTGATTGTTTTTCACTTTCTTAATCATTAACTTAGATAAGTTATACACAAACTTGTGGTTTCTGACTTTAGCTAAGAGAACGTAATCCTCCAAATGTGCTGGCAAGGTCCAGACTGTTGGTGAGGGGTTAGAAAAACCTCAAGATCTCAAAACAATTTAAATGGAGACATCCACCTAAGGGGTAAACAGAGACCTGTTTGGTACACACAGCTCATTTTATCTGTACAAGAATAATAAAATAGGAATCACTATAGGGAACGGGACACAGGCAGAATCCTGGGCCCTGACCTCCTTCTCACTGCGTAAACATGATTTGTGTTTCTCCCTGGGACAGCCAGGGATTTCAAAGCCACTTTTTGCAGTGGACTTTAACTTTTCAGTTAGGCCTACAGATGTCCAATAGGTAACTAAACGCAAAACAAAGTTTGATTTTCATTTTGTATCCTTTGTTGCTGTAAAATTTATGTCAAATCTCTTCTCAGCTCTACATATATTAATCATTTAGGGAGTGTCTATCTAAAAAATTGGCAAAACAAGGTTGATTAGTCCTAAATTTACATATTATCACCCCATCTGAGATTGAGAACAATAGGGTGGGGGATTTTTAGGAACGTTCAACTGTGCCTTGAAGTTTCCAGCCACTGTCCTAAGCCTGTGAGCATCTGGATTCCAAAAAAGCAGAGCTTCACAGGACTGAGATCACCACAGACGGACAGATTTCCTTTCTGGGAGTGAAAACACCTCTTAGCCATACAAATTAGAGAACTATGATACCAGGACCTAGATAATGATCAGCTGGGTCCCAGCTCACCAGCTAATCCTTAAAAGCTAGCCTTTGTGGATGGGCCCAACTAAAACCTGTTTAGAGCATGCCCCCTCCAACTACCTAAGCTAGAGTCCACTCATATCTTCCTCTAATGTTACAATTAAAAATTTTTTTGTAAAATTTGTGCTTTAGTTTTAGTGTCTATCATTACTAAAATCAAGGACCCAAAGTAGCCAACGACATGCTCACATATACGGAAATAAAAACCAGAAGTCAAATTGAAACACATGAAGTAGAAGTAGACCATCTCCAAGATTATCAACAGCCAACTCTCTGCTGCTTGGTATTCCCCAAGTAAAACATTTGTAAAAGTCCTTCCTGACCCAAGGTAGTTGGATGGCTCCCAATGAACCCCAGTGTCTCCCTGCTCTCCTGACAGCCTCTGTACAATCATTAATAAATTCTGGTGCTCCTGCTACTGGTTGGCAAATGAACATATCAGGAAAATGAGAAATCAATTCTGCTGATTTCTGGAAACAAACTAGAGCTCTAGGAAACTCACTTGATCCTTGATTCCGGTATTTATAAGGCTTTGTGGTGACCTCAGCTCCATACAACTATAAAATGAAGAATAAGCCCATGGGTTTACAGGCCTATCTTTTCATAAGCAGTCTTCAGGGAAGTGGGTGGCTCTTCTGTTCTGTCCTTGGGTTCTCCCCTAGTACTTATCACTGGTACCGTTGAGGCAGGAGATTAGGGAATGGTGAATTGGGTGGGCAAGTGGGTGTGATCTGTCAATCACAGAGATCCAGAAGACATGGACCCAAGCCCTGCACCTGGAACCAATCAGAAAGTGCTATCTTTAATTCTTGCAGAAATCAAAAAGTAGGTTTTTGATAGAAAGGCCTAGACTTGACCTCATCCTGAGGCCGTGGAAGATATAAAAGACAGC